TGAAAGCATAATCACTTGATAATATGTTACCCATTCTAACTTCTGACACATATAGCTTCATAGAAGTATTTAACATATATGATCAGTGCTTTACATATTCAGTTATTCTACACAATCAGTCACTCAGCCTTCTCCTAGTGTTGCTCCTGTGCAGGCATACTCATCTTACACAGACATATCACTGTATTTTTAACACAGGCTGGCATGTTTGCTGCAAACACTACATACATTTTGTGAAGAGAAAATTAACTGCTTTAAACTTAGAAAATACGTCATACAGAGAGAATAGAAATCTTCTTCAGGTTGTTTAACACTTTTGCTCCTGTGTTTTGCCGGGTTTCTCCTTTTTTCTGTGCTTTACACTCGCTCTTGTCCTTTTCTTTCTGAATGGATCAGATGACGGAGACACTTAAACAATCACACTAACACGTTATTATCATCAGCTCAAGAAGTTTGTTATATCAAATATAGACGCGATCGTGCGCTCCCGAAAGAAAGCGAATAGCGCACGCACTTTTAGACGGGCTCGTAAAGCAACAACAGGACATGGTAGATTTTGTTTTTCTTTGCATTGTGTCTGTTCATTAAGGCGACGACACGGTTTGTTTGAGCCCGGGTCATCCATGGCTGGTTATTTTATGCATGTAGTAACGTTATATCCATGTAATCTCTCGGCTGTGTATTAGAACATGGCGGATCCTTTGTTTACATTCTGTCTAGCTCCACGAGCTTGTGACGTATCTCTGTAACCAATCAGCGTTCAGCTGCACGTGTAGCTCCACCTTTTGGTACCCTTTCTCGTTTTTGGGACCCTTTCGAAAGGGCGCCGAAAAAGTGGTACGGTTTGGTTCGGTACGGTTATTGACAGTGGAAACGGCCATAAAAGCGTACCAAACCGAACCGTACCGTACCACTCAGTGGAAACAGGTACAAAAATGGTGGTTTCCCCTCATCATAGCAGCATCAGAAATGGTGTTTCACAGGTAACAGCTGTAATCAAAGCAGCTCTCAAATGATCTCGTACCAGACATTAGAAACTAAATGAAAGAGAAACTAGTGGCGGATAGTTTTGTGATGACTGACGCAAACAATTCAATGTATGGGATACACTGTTCACAAACTGTGTAGCTGCGTCCCAAATCGCACACTTATGCACTATTCTACGCCATTTTGTAGTATAAATAGTGTGAGTAGTGTGTTCACACTAACTACTCTAAAAACATTAAGTGCACTTTAGGGTTCAACGCTAAGGACATTTTCTACTGGCCCGACTGGATCAGCAGTTCAGATTTTTACTGGCCCTGCCAAAATTTTCACTGGCCCCACCAAAATAAAAAAAATTAAAAATAGCTAATTTTTTAGCCACATATTTTAAATAATGTGTCAAAAATAATGTCTTTAAATCTAGAATTTAAATATTTTTAAAGTGTTAAAATATTCAGCAGTAAAATACAGCAGTGTGGAAAATGTGCAGGTATTTTATTGCTAAACAAAAAGTGGCGGACTTAAAAGTGATGGAAAATTATGCAAAACATCACTTCATTTTTTTCGTTGCGTTGTACCCATGTAAATATCTTTTTCCACAACGTTGGAAACAGACGTTTTCTTTTAGCCTCATAATTTGATGTTGTCGTCTCTTCACTGTTCTGGTTTTTACCAGGTTGTGGAAAAAATAACGTGCTCACAACAACCAATCAGATAAAGGGAACCAAAAAGCAATATGGGGTTTACGACTTTACAGAAAACGTAGCATTCTGAGACTTAAAAGCACAAATTGTTTCTCGGTTCTAAGACTGTATTTGCATACAATTGACATAGTAGCAGGCAAATAAAAATTTGATGACAAGGCAGCACTGGCCTGATCGGGCCAGTAACCATTCTCTCTACTGTCCCGAACATCTATCATGCTGGCCCCGGGCCATCGGGCAGTCCTTATTGTTGAGCCCTGACCCAGATGATGCACTCATTCAGCCGGTAAAATGAAGTGTGTAATGAT